CCACACGGCCCAGTGCAGCAGACTTGGAGCGAGGCCGCTGAGGTTATTTTAATGCGCCAGGGAGGTGCTGGGCGAACCGCGAGGTAAAAGGGGAGACAAGGCAGCGTGGTTAAGGATCGCGTACAGCAAATCGACCCATTCGCTGTACGTGACGCGACCGCGGACGCTAGCGAATCGCTCGATTCGCAAAGTCTGACATCGACCTCAAGAAGCCTACCATAGTGAAGTACTCTCCCCATCTCCTCTTGACCTTGACGGGCTCGTTCAGAAGGTACTGTCGCTGCTCTTCACATACTTTACAGCTCAGATGTTTTGAGTAGCTTGGTGCTGAGCTTCACCCTTTATATTTGAGTACCTCATGTCGGTTACGCCCTCTTCAAAAGCGACCCGCACAATCCTTCCATGCAGATCTGGTTTGGCCGGAACCGTCAGCTATTCTTTGTCAATCTTGGTTTCCCGACCAGCATCCTAATCTTCATCGAAGCTTCTACTATCGCAAGAAAGACATTTTGAATCACGACACAGCGTATTTTTGTAGAGCCGGGGCCAGCTCAGTTGATATCGTGAATTGCTTCGGCCAAATTCGAGGGGAAACAAGAAATCTGCGCCAAGCAACCTTCTGAGTATGCTGTAGAGACTTTGAAAAGAATGGAAAAGCGCTTTAGTGTGAAAGAAACAATACATTTAGATAGAGCGAGAAAAACCCTTCGGTATGACATATACAGGGTGGCGAAAAATTACGTGCGCCATAAAAAACATCATAACTTCATTTTTGGTCCATAAAAATTCGAAAGAGATTAATTTTATAAAACAGCATTCAATAATTATAAAAAAAGTCTCCAGCTTCTCTCTTCTTCTTGTAACTTCAGCATCCTTGGCAAAAAAGTATTCCGCTGGCCGCGGTCGGTTTTGATATAGATTTGAATTAGTTTCGACATCGACTTGATGGTGCAGGCGGTGCTCTGAAGAGCCGTCTCGTTTTGATCTGAAATAAAATCTCTCCAAACCTATCAATATGGGCGATGATAAAATTTCCCATAATGACGCATTGCAGTAAACTTTTACGGACTCGCAGCCCACTTGTAACACTTGTAATCGAAAAACGCACTGCCAAGAGTATCGCTGTTGTATTCCGTAGACTAGCTTGCGGAGATCGATCTGGAGTAGTACGCAGCGCTTTGGCAACCCTCCGATTGATTTTTTATCAAATAACACTCATGGAAATCTATGCGAAGATATATCATGAAAAAGTCTTCAAGAAAGCTCTGGTGCTCTGAAAGAAGAGTCACAACAATCTTCTCTTTCTTTGTCTATAAACAAAAAATAAAGTCTAGATATTTTTCGTGGCGCACGTAATTTTAGAGGAATATTTTTTTTAGAACGTAGTGAATATACTTTCAACGTTTAAAGATTTCTTCAAAATTGTTGTTTCGTACCTACCTACCTGAAAAAATATAGTAAGCTACAAGGTTGAGTGAGTTGCTCTGAAGAAACTGAGAGAAATCACCGCAAAATGGTCCCATTTGCACTTTTGTCCTGAGGTTTACGAAACATTTCAAACGTGTGAGCTTTTCAGTTTTCGATGGTTGTGACTATCTTAAAAACAAATTTAGTGTAGAAAGGAAAATGTTTCAAGAATAACGGAACTTCGTGTTCCTCAAATGCACTGAGGCGTCTTTTGGAAATCCTCCTATTCAAAAATGTTTCCTTTCAACGAAAACTTCCTTTCCCATTCGAAAAGCGATCCTTTCATAATGTTGCACTTTTCTCCATTTCAATTTAGTTCAGAAAATAGGAGCTCTTTCGAAACAATTCTTTGGTGCTGATAAATCTAACTTGAAGCGTGTTGCATCAAAAGTTCCTGCCACGCTTGCGCCCGCGTTTCAGATCGCTTAGATGTTTGGAAGTCTATTTCTTCTTGCTATGGCTCGCATCTCTAGTGTTGATTAATGAGATCGCCATTATTTTCCGTTGCAGTCAGTGCGCTTCCGACCACCACCCCGCCCCCCTCAGGGCTAATGCGACGCCTCCTCGTAAAAAAGTACACGGTTGACCCTCCGATGACATGGATTCGCGTCGTTTTAACGATAGCCTAAGCGTCCCCATCATATAGACGCTTCAATAGGCGAACGATGCGTATGAGTAAATCAGGCAAGTCACTGATTACGATGGCTGGAGAGTGGTGCAGTTTCGATGACGTCATTGAACGTGATGGTGGCCTAAGACTTGTGAAGCGCGCTGCGATGTAGGTTGGACCGCCTTTGGCCCCTTTGACTAATGACGTTTAATGACGTCATCGTAACCGCATCACTCTCCAGACCGTGACCGCTGCCTTTAAGGCAAAGTCGCAACAGTTTGTATGACTAATATCTGGAATTTTCTTACGATTACGGACCTGCTACGAAAGTGAAAAAATTTTATTGAAATGCAGGATATACAATTGAGCAATGAAATACAACAACACGTTACAATAATAATAGCAACAACCATAATCAACATGTCCTTCAAACTGGCAAATTTAGATCCGAAGGCAGTTTGGTAAGTAAAAAATTGATAAGCGGTGCACACCGAATACCGAGACGAAAACACACAGATTCAGTAACAACTGCCAAGAATATCAATAGAAATCACGAAATTACCAGGATGTTGGAATATATGAATTTCTTACAAAACTGAAAAGAGAAGCTCATTTATACGATTAACAAATTAATGGCTCAAGATACAGGTTATTCCTCCTACGTCACACTTCGAAATCTTCGATACAAATGTGAAAGCTAAATTTGAAGGGGTTCCTCTACGCATGAATGCTAGTAAAGGCAGTGAACAGGGTGGAGGGTGGAGTCGGATTGATGATGCAGTGGTGTACCAGGACGCCTCAGCGCGCTGAGAGGGTGGGTGGGATCCAGCTCCTAGTGCAATCCACCAATCATGCTCTATCGGCCTTACAAATCGCTCCGCCCTTCAGTCATCGTGCACACTACCTCTAAAGACAGCAATGACTCGATTTTCACCGAATATGAAGTGTGGCAATGAAGAGGAATGCCAACAAAAAATTGTCAAAAATTATACTGAGACCCTTATTAGCTTTGAATAACATGGACGAAGTTACTGTAAAAACTGCAATTGGAGCGTAGTAACGTCGAGTAGAAGAGACGACAAGATAGGAAAGTATGACGTTAAAGCAATATACTTGCAGAGTTGAACGATAATCGTAAAAGTATCGTGAAGTCTACAATCTCACTTAGTGGCGGGACAAGCTCGGAACAAAAAAGAAAAATAACAAACTTCGGTTTGAAGCCTAAACAATTGCCGACAGCCACATTTCTTTCACAAACCTCACAGATCGATTCCTTTGACCGTCTACGCTGTTCTATCTAGTGCATGTATATTTCTGAGCCGACTTCTTTATGACTCTTGCCTTTAAGTTCTTGACCTTTTAAGGCCTCTTTTTGAGGTTAATCAGAATCGCCTCGAAAACAAATGCCAAATAATGCCGTATGCGGAGGAGGCTACTTGCACCTTCTTCTCAAACTGGTTCTGGTATTGGAACGCACTATAAACTGGTATCAACGAGAGAAATCTGTGTCTACTCTTGCCAATGGGTGCTCCTTCGGCACAGCATCACTAACCTCGTGGAAGTTTACTTACAGAAAGCAGATTCAACTTGGTGACACGTTTCAATCCTGCCCTTACCATACACATTCGCTGGTGTCAGCATTCATGTATTTCCTTGTCTCAAGGCACTTTAAGGGCGGAAGTGGTGTAGTGTCCAAGTGGCGCTGCTTACCACGTGCGCGGTCCGGGGAATGAATCCTGAGTCGTGCGTCGGTCGGTCGCCTTCTTCCAGGGTCGGGTTATATGGTACCATACTTGCATGGGAAGATAAAACCTATGAATTGTAGATCGGCTGGCCGCACGCAAGTCCATTGTATAGGCAAATCACATTCAAATGCCACTACGCATGTACAAATGGAAGTAGAATGCGTGCCGCATCCCAAAAGGGATTGATCAACGGCAAATGCTTTTTTATCCTTTTATTGACGGCTTCGATAGAGTATCATCTCTAAAGCGTGGGAAGATGGAAGATGCAGCGTTTGCGCATTAACCCAAAACATATTCAAGGGCGTTCCATAATTTTTTACAGCAATTTCCTCGAACTTGGAGCCATTGAATACAAACTGCTCGATCTACCTGATCAATTTTTGTTCCAAAGATATATATGTATAAAAGGCAGGTCCATACAAAATGTTCTATCGAGGCCAGTTAATTTCTCACAAACAACAGTCCTACTGCACCAAATATTTCAAGACAAGTGATCAAGATCAAGTGGCACAACACGACATCATTTTGACAGTTAGTAAAAATACGCATTCATTGAACATATGTATATGTATACGTGTGTAGATAATATATATGTATGTGTACATAGATATATATTATCTATGAAGGTTTACCTAAAATTGATGAGCATTTTAGTGAGCATAACAAGTATATACAGGGGTGGCCAAAAAAAGACACTCAGCCCATGGCGCACATCATCGAACTTTTCGTCACACAGGGAGCCGATGTTAATGAAAGTTTTATGGCGTTATATTCCTTAGTTGTTCCTCCGTAAACAGAAGCAAGCACTCCTTCACTGCCCCTGCCGTCTCCAGAATATGACGTCATCTGCCGTCACCGTCGAGCTCAACGAGGCTTACCGAAATCGCTCCGACCTGAAGCTGCTACACATCTTCTCTGATGTCGTCGGTGTAGAAGGCTGTTGTGTAGCTTGTTGATAGATTATAACGTGCTCTTCAATATTCAGTTGGGTCATTTGGTTTGGTTTCGCGACGCGTAAATAATTCCGTTTTGAATGTTGAGTGAAGTGTCTCTTTTTTTTGGCCACCCCTGTATACCATTACAGGCAGCGCTTCGAGGTGAGCAATAAGAATATCAACTGGACAACTTATCAGTTCCGTTTTTAGTTAGTTGCACAAAGAGAGGAGTTTAGTATAAAGCTAAGAGTCATAGAACTTGGAACAACGCTGAACTGCCTTCAGCCATAGTCGGTAAGACTGTCGGAGGCTTTCAGAAGCCTCCTCGGATGGCATAAAACAACGATCGACCTCGACCATTGTCTCCAAATCCGCTTCACTCCACATACCTGTAAAATGGACAAGAGCTAAAGCATTGTATCAAATAGTACAGGTTCGATGTCGTAGGCATTCTCCGCAACACTCTTGTTGTTGTCCGACAACTTCGATCGGGCTCGGTTCTGAGCCGCTCTCCCTATTAGGATCCAAATAGTTTCGAAACGTTTGGAAGGAGAAAAGCAGCTCATAAAAACTGACTGAGCCTTATAATTCATTGGATATACTACTTTCAAATGCTTGTAAGCAGTACTCCGAAGCGAAGCCTGCGGGGTACACACCGAAGGAACTGATCTCGCTGATAAATTTCTTCTCTCTATTCATGCGCAGAGTCGGTTTAGTTGGATGATGGAAGTGTTCGCAGCCATTTTTTTTTCTGCAGTCCTTTTGGCCCAATGTCACGTGATGTATCACGCGATGTTCATATGAGGTGTGTTGAAAAGTTGTTAACGCCCCGTGATAGAGCGTATAACGCAGTAAAACACCTATTCAAGTGAGCTGATGTCAGACTTGGCGAATCGAGCGATTCGCTAACGTCCGGGTCGCGTTGCGGCCTGCGTATCGCTCTATTGGCCGATAACGCAACGGGACTGCGGATTGCAAGCGATTCGCAACATTTGACATCGGCCTAAAGGTGAGCAGTACGACGAATTCACGAGCGTTCTTCTTGCTTTTTCACAGGATTGAACGCACAAATATTTGAACTTGACTCTCACTCCATATAGCTTGGATCCTCAAACATGGTTTCCAAATTTGGGGCTTTACTGCGCTGCAAATACCCATCATTCGCTTCAGAACCGCCACATCTCCTTTCTTTTGCGGCTTGGCTACTCCAGCGACAGAACTACTTATGCGGTTTGCGGCCGCTTCATCGTATTCACTTCCTTCGATACAAAAGTGAATATCGGCACACACTTAAGATGAGGGCAATTATCGACAGGGATACACTCACAGGTTCTCCTCCCCATCAAGGAGTGCGTGACTTTAAGCACGACATGAGTGAGCGCCACGAGAAGAAACCTTAGGTAAGGTGGTAAGTCATCAGCCACACGGACCATCTCGTGCCGAGCTTAACTCGACATCGCCCACCATTTATTCATGTCGGGTTACCAACTAGTGTAAATATTGGTCAAGAAAATCCTCGACAGTGGGTCGTATTCGTTATGGGGAAGGAGTCGTAATCGTGGAGGTCTCATCACTGGTATCAAGAGGTGTTTACGTTGGGAAAAACGAGAATATGACATGTGTTTACTACGAACCCCATTTGTTTACTACATTCCTTCAGTTGCTACCAATAGGTCATAATCTAATGACACCATGAAATCAATTCAGCGATTCTGAGTGGAGGTCGGAAGCGTGGCCTGTACCAGAACGGAAAATACGATTACTGTTCCTTTTGCTATCACTTATATTAGCAAAATGTATCCTAGAGATACTCCGAAAGCTGCTAACGAATTAGCTTGCAATTATGAAGACAGATGCGACTTTTTGGGTGGCGAAAATTGCCCTCGATAGATTTCGTCGCAGATTCTCCTCAATTAGGAAATTTGGAAAGATGTCCGAAAAACTACTAGAGAAACCAATCTTCCGCGTTTCGAAACTATCTTATTTCATTCAAATTCTTATGACACTAGTGAGATATTGGCTCTAAGCGAGTAGAAACTTGTATGAATTTTTTTTGCGCTCTCGGCGCTGGCAGGACGCAGTTCGCGGAACAATGTGCCCGAGTGGAAGGCTTCTAGAGGAATTTCAATAGTGTTTGATATTTTAAAACCTAGTTCTATCCGAGCATACTGTAACCACGAAATGAAGGAATAGCAGCCTTTCAAAAAGTGTGCTTTCCAGGCTTCGGTAGAGGTCTCGCAGGCAGGGATAAACAGTGCTCGGGACGCCGGAAATAGTCCGCCGTCTCCTGAACTCAAGAATATCTCTGCCTTCGTTTAAGTTGGGCCGCTTCACTCCACTTCTTCTGAAGACATTTCGAAATTGCGTTTCATATCCCGAATGACCCTTTCGTGAATTAAAACTCAATGCAAAGTGCCAGCGATGAGTAAATGGCAGCAACCCTCCGCGCCTCTCAATTTCGGCTTGTCCCCGGCCATCTATTGAGCATTTCCAAACTTCTTTACCCATATGCTAAATGACCGAAGACGCAAAACCTAGTCAACCCTTGAAACAATACCGGCCAAGAAGGCCAACTCCACGAAACCACGTAACCACCGTCCTTCTTCGTTGAATTGGGATATCGGTTAATGTGGCAATAGTTTCACATACAAAATCATTTGCCGCTACACCACCACAGATCCTAAACAAGGTAATGAATACAGAAGACATGCTAGCAACAATGTGATAGTTGATTTCTCTAGTACCGTATCCTCGGCTTGCTTAGGATCTCAACCTCAACTCGCATTGTTTCGAATATTTGGTAAACTCGAAAGGCGATCGACTCCAAAATCGCTCGCACCCTAAATCAGACATTGCAAAACGATTGAATCCAAGTGATTATTGATAACGTTAGATTCCATGGAATCATAATACGTCACCATCCTCCATCGCATCCTCCTTCTCCAATACAAAAATTTGATATTCGCCAAACCTGACATTAACCCCCTTTCAAAAAGCGAGAAGAGTCGGGTGCAGACCAAACACCACAACTGACGACGACCTCCAAGTAAATCTGGTTAGAAGGTTCATAGTGATAGCTGATTTTTGGTAAATGATAGTTGTAATTAGTGACAACTGATAGAATACAACTGCAACAGGCTAATCATTTCATTGGCAGAAAACATTTACATTTTGTGGAGGCCGTCGTCACTTGTGGTGTATGGTCTGCACCCGACGCTCTTCTCGTTTTTTGAAAGGGAGTATATTTCATACTGTGTACTCCTTGTGTTTCATTCGGCTTAACCCCAACAACCCCAGTAATTCCATAAAAATATCCTCACTAACCCAATCACATTGATGACAGCGGGACCCGACATCGGACCAAATTCATAGCCCGTGAAAAAGCGTGGCCTGATGTCGAGCTACAGCCTTGTGGCTCTTCTTTTTCACATAAGAACGACTTCGACCGCGATTTCTTATATTTCGAACATAACTTTTGGCACCTAGCAAGCGAACCAAGCCAAGAAACCTAACGAAATGATAAAAATTCCAGAAAAGTCTGAGAGTGGAAACTTCAAACTCACATATGAGCTTTTGTTGTATCTGGGCGGATACCTAGAAAACCACAGCAAGCGGTGTCATCATTGATCGGAGTTTGAAGACCTTGAAAATGAGATAAGATACACTCTACAACATAAGCATGACGGCGAGTAATATGGTCGCCTCAACAAATTTTCATAATAGATGATACATCGAAATATCTAAAAAAATATTCATAAAATGGCTCACCGCCGAAAGCCGGAACAAAAAGAACTCCATTTGAATTCTGAACCGTTGCTGCCAAAGCAGATGTCTGTGTGACATCAGCAAAAAGACCTACAAATACACAGTATTAGGTCAGCTGATAAAAAATTCACCATTGTTTTTTTTTCTACGATAAATCATAATCACTCTCAATACATAAGTGCTACATCGGAAAACCGCACATCGACACGTTAGTTAAAAGGGGAGGATTGCTTCTGAAGTCGAAATTTTTGTTCAAGGTGTTAAAGGCAAAGTTCGGGCTCAGACCCACCTAATAAACCCTACACTCAGTGCTAGAAGTGTGCATGGGACGCAGCTGCAGGCGACTCGCCAAGTTCCCGCATCCAAATGCGTCACTAAGGCGCTAGGGGCCAAGGACTTTGACACGCTCCACCTGTTGCGACACGCTCCGCCCACCGCTCGATATCTTGTCTGCGTCGCTAACTTGATCTGCTATGCTCTCTCTTCTCGGATTTCTCTACCGCTCTCCGCGCTCACATTATCTCTCATCTCCCTGCCGGCCTTTTGAACTTCTCCGCAACGTAGAGCAAAAGGCTCGTATTTCCTGTGTATTTCAGGATTTTCCTTCCTTTTTTCTCCACTGGCGGTCACCCTCCCGCCCCTACATCACATTTGAGTAGAATTACCTCATCAGTTTAAGCTTGAATCTTGCCTTTAAGGCCGGAAAGTACTGAATTAATAAAATGGTTCA